TGGGCATCCAGGCAAATCAGAGGCGTCTAATCAACGTTGGCAGCAACCACCAGGACCAAAACGTGCAAGGCGGTCAATCCGGACCCAAGGAAAGCGGCAGCAGGTCGGGCAGCAGCGGCGATGCGTTCTGGGGAGCACATGCTACGGGAATCCAGGCCAATGCTGCTCCTCAGAGACGTCTCTTTGGCGTCACATCCACTCACATTGACACCAACGACCAGGAGTGGTACAGTGGCGCCAAGACCTCTGGCGCTTCGAGCCGCCGCAGCGTTGATGCTGACTTGCTCGGCAAGCGTCTGTTCGGTGTGACTTCTTCACACATCGACACCAACCAGCAGGAGTGGTACTCTGGCCCCAAGTCCTCTGGCGCTAGTAGCCGCCGTGACCTTGGCAAGCGTCTTTTCGGCGTCACCTCCAACCACTTCGACACCAACCAGCAGCAGTGGGCCTCTGGCCCCAAATCCTCGTTCGCTTCGTCGTAAACACGCTCACTTGACTTGGAAGATGTAATTGGTCTTTGATTTGACACACACACGCAAAGGATTTCTTTGAAATGCTACGTTTTGATTGTCGTCTATTAACATCTGCACGTTGGATCTGGTCCAGAAAGAGCGCGACAGAATGTGAATGGTAATTGGTCTTTGATTTGACACACACACGCAAAGGATTTCTTTGAAATGCTACGTTTTGATTGTCGTCTATTAACATCTGCACGTTGGATCTGGTCCAGAAAGAGCGCGACAGAATGTGAATGACAATCGTGAATGTTTACGAGACGGCAAGGTCGGGCGCATGGTCATACTGCGACTCGCCGAAGAGTCACGGTGTCTACTACTTCTACGAGCTACATGGATGATCTTCCACGCGAGGGTCTCCCTTACCTGTCCTCGTTCAACGACTCGGGCCCGAAAGAAAGCGCGATCAAGCTTGCTAGGTTGTCAGACAATTGCACACTTTTACGGCGAGCAGCCGTGTGAGTTCCCGATGTCCAATGCGTGCACAATTTGTCTGCGGACCTTCTGAGGCGCGAATCAAGGGTCATCACTCCACACAGGGAGACCAGCATGTTTGCGCGTCTGCTCGCAAGCCATGTTTGCGCGTCTGCTCGCTGCTTGCTCTGCCAACAGACGAGCTCCCATGCGCGCTTTGCGCAAGCATGCTCGGAGACTTTTGGTTCACCATCAAGGCGAGACGCTGTTAGAGCTGCGTGGCTAGTCAGTGTCGCGAGTGCATCACTCAAACTCCTCGAAGAGAGAGCATATGCACTCACGACTGTTGTGAGTGCGCAAGGCACCGCTCATCCAAATCGATGGCGTGCTCGACTCGGCAGTGGAGCTCGATGGGCGTCGTAGCAGGGTGTGCACTTACATCTTTACGTCTTTCACACAGGCCTGTCGCCAGGTGAGAGTATGCACTTTGAATAGAGCGTTCCTTTCAGCACGTTCTCAGCTTCGCTTAGGTTGCCGACGCTCGTATCGGAGTACCTACATCTGAACGCCCAGGCACGGCTTGCGTACAGTAGTAGCGTTCATGCGAACGTCGCCTCGCTTCGCTCTTGGCATTGACGAGTCAAATGGTGCTCGAGCATCTTAGTCTCTTGCGGTACCAGCAGACGTTCGGCCAGCGGCAGCTAGTTCTGTGCTCTGTACGCCCGCAGCGGCGTGGGCTGAAATGGTCCAAAACTCCGTGGCCACTCGTGCAGGTCGCCAGACATATCGAAGAGGCTGAGGACTATACGGGTTGCGATACCGAATCGTGAATGGAGCAGCTGTGCAAGCTAGATTTTGTGAGTGTCTCGGCGATGTGCGTACACGCACTCTCTCAGGCTACGGCGGCGTTTGAGGCGGCTGCAGGTCGAGACCCATGCAAGATGTAATGCGACAAGGCAGACCTGACATGCGCGGGCGCGTTGCTAACATCACGCATGGGTTACTACTCCTTAGATGTGAGGTAGTAAATGCAACCTATGCCGCGAGGCGTGAAAGGCCCGCGGAAGGAAACGAATTTGCGAACTCAGGAAGGAGCCATCATGCATGCACGCATGCAGTGTGACGCTAAAGAATTATATTGAGCCATACGCGTGACAGCAGGCGCGGCCGCCTGGGAGTTGGGTGCGTAGCCGATCTGCTTAATTGCGATCGTCGGAAGCTTATACAAGCGAGCGACGCTAAATTCAAAGTTGCATTGAAAAAAAAAAAAAAAAAAAAAAAAAAAAAAAATGG